TTGAGGCGTCTGTTATGTTTCAGTTTTTTTCCATCGTTTGGTGAGGCTGCGGCGGGCCTGCCAAAGATGGAGGAGGTGGGTGTTCACGTCCGTTTGAGTTTCCGTGAGCTGCATCAGCCGTTCATGTTGTTTCAGTGTAGACGTCTTTGATTTAGACCAGGTGTCGCATCCCGACTGGAGAGGGTCTACAATAGGTAGAGTGGTGCGGAAAGGTGTCCAGTCTGAGATATGAGCTTGTGCAAGTGAACGTTTTATAGGACGCATGTACACGGTTGTGTTTAACACACAATAATCACTACTGAGAGTGTCCTGTGTGTTCAACCAGTTGGCATGGCGTATGTTGCGTGTAATTTTGAGGTCCGGGCAAGTATCTCGTTGAACAGAGTTGCCTACACGTGTTGGGCTGGCGGGATCAGTGTGGAGGGTGAGTCCAAGTGTAGAAAGAAGTTCCAGAAACTTCCTTCCACGCGTGTCCTCTCGTGGGTAACCCCATAACCTGCTTGGGGCATTGAAGTCGCCGACGATCAGAAGGGGGTCCTTTCCTGCCACCTGCATAGCTTGTGTGAAAGTTGCGCTGAACGTGCCGTTCTTAGGCTTTGGAGGACAGTAAATGTTTAAAATATGAACAGGTGGGTCAGATCGCCTTATAGGCAGCACCGACACCATCGTGTATGGGAAAGGCGGTGTTGCGGGGAGTGTGACTTCTTGGGCGGTATATTGCTTGTGAACAAATATACATGTCTCCGGGTCGTGTTGGAATGTAGTGTAATTTGTGAGTTTGACGTTCGTGCCGGGTTCCTGAAGGGCAACCACGGCAACGAGGAACTCAAAGGTCTCAAGATAGAGGCGAAAATGAGCCCGCTTCTTGTGATTCTTGAGACCTCTGCAGTTCCACTGTGTTAGTAACAACGGCTGAGTTGCTCAAAAGATGCGAGATGGTGGGACTTGCAGTGTTGAATAGATGAACGAATAGACACACAGACAGATGAATAGACGGACTTACGGGTGGCTGAACCAATGAATGGACGCACTGACGGATGCAGGGGTGGATGCATGGACAAGCGCAAGGACGGACGCACCGATGGACGTGCGGACACACGAACAGACGCACGCACGGATGGGCAAATGGACGCACGGACGTCACACAGATGGGCGCATGGACGGACGGAAGCAAGGGCAAATGGACGGGCGGATGCATCGCCCCACTCTCCATCATTCACTCTGTCGATATGCTGCCAGTTTTTTTACGATGAATTTTTTTATTTTTTTGCGATGGTGGTGACGGACACAAGGGGCGGAGGCACCGTACTTGTCTGCCGCCACCGTCGGTGTCCGTAACCACTTCGCTCAAAATAAGAAAAAAAAACTCGTACTTAGCACATAGTGGGCCTTTAACCAGCGTCCGCTGCGTTCCAGCCCAGTATTTCACCACTGAGCCACGCTGATGTTTAGGACTTGTTCGCAAACTTGCCTTAGCCAGTCTTAATGTCGGGAAAAGAATCGTTTTATTACGAGTAATAAAGCGTGTTAAAACAGCAAAGGAAACATCAAGTGTCACAGAATGAAAATAGCGTAACGACTGGGTCGTCCAGTGCTTCACCGAATTAGAAAAGCTTGTTCTTGATAACCTAGTAATTATGGCGCACACCCACTTTAGGCATAATTCCTCATCGTTGCCAGCCAGTGCGTGAACAATGGTGGTGGTGGTAAAAACTTCATTAATAACTCCGGCAAACTCGTGGCCTAGCTCCGGTTCTCCTCGGCTTCCCCCAGGGAGGACCGCAGACGCTATCTCCTTATCGCCTCGTGGGCTTCTTGAATGGCCCACAGTTGATCTTGAAAGTTGGAGCTGCGCAGTGCAGCCGTCTACCTCGCCGCAGATCATCTGAAGAGACGGCATTTTCTTTTGCTAAAACTGCACATTCCTTGAGAATGTGCGTAAGTGATGCGTGAGTCCAGCCGCACAATTTCCAAGTGCCATCTGAGTAGACATCTGGGTGTATCCTCTTAAATATAATTGTGTTGTGGAAGGTCTGGGTTTGCAATTGCCTGCACTCTACCGCTTGATAATTCATACATATTAATCTATACCATTTTAACAAAGTTTAAATAGAAAAAAGGAAATAAAACATTCATTTTGAGAATAGCAGCGTAAACGCTACACTATGTGCCGCTTGACAAGTCCCGCCACCCCGACACCAATGACAGCAAAGTGTGGTACAGAGAGATTTACTTGAAGCAAACATTTGAACTCGCACTGCAAAAATTAAGGCAAATACTTAAGAAGCGTTTTTCATAGAAAGCTATACGATCATTTCATAAAGGCTAAACGATCATTATAGGCCTGGTGGAAGAAACAAAAACACAATAGGCAGTTGAGAAAACACAATCCAACACTCAACAAACAAGTTGAAGAACAGTGGTGGACTCTTAGTCAGCAGCATTGGGACGAGGTCCTAAACGTAGTGGACGAACAGATTGGCACCGTTAACACGTGGCGCCTGCTCCAGCCCCTGCTAGACCCGCCAAGAACAAGTAAAGTCAAAGGGACACCATGCGCAGGATAAACACGCCAAGGGCGAGAAAAAAAATCCTTTCGGAGCTCTGCGAAAGGTACGCCCTCAGAACTCGGCTATTCCACACAGGTAATACACGGGAAAGCCCAACCCTTATCTGGACAGGGACTTTCACGAGGTGAAAATCTGGGCCGTGTTTAAAATGGTCAACGGGAAATCAGTCCCGTGACCGGACGGCGTAACCAATAAGGCCCTTCGTAACTTAGAAAACGAGATTATCTGCTAACAGACTCAGTAAATCAACGAATGCTGGACCACAGGGTACGCACCTAATCAATGGAAAAGATAAACAAAAATGGCGGCATATCCACGAAGTGAATGATGGAGAGTGGGACGAAGCATCCGTCCGTTCATTCGTTCTTGCTTCCGTTCATCCATGCATGTCTGTGTGACCGTCCATGCGTCCATCCAATCGTCCGTGCGTGCGTTTGTTCGTGCGTCCACACGTTCATCTGTGTGTCCATCCCTGCGTTCGTCCATGCATCCACCCCTGCTTCCGTTCATGCGTCCATCTTTCCGTGCTGCCATCCGTGCGTCCGTCCATGCATCTGTCTGCGTGTACGTTCGTTCATCTATTCAACACTCTAAGTACCACAATCTCGCATAATTTCATCATATATTCCCCATACAGAAGCACCGCCATCCAGCGGACATTCCAAAAACTAAAGAAGAGGTGGCACACGCACACTTTCTAACGGCTTGCGCTTTGTGTCTACTTCCCACCTTTAACCACCTCGGCTTTTTGGTATGTACTAGTTCACTGTATTCATGGGACTGCGGTCCAACGCTCGCTAAACTTTCCTTAAACCAAGGAGGTAACGGCCAGCGAGCATAACGTAGCAACCCTTTCTTGTCAGATAGCGCTCAGTGTACATGCCAATGGCTGCTAATGGGGAATGAAAGACAGGACAATTCGGGTTTTAGTTAACGCGCACGCTGCGAATTTTTTATTGTTCAACAAGCGCAGAAGAAATCTCCCACCGGCATCACCTTGCAGGTCGAAACGTAATACTGGTTACACATTACTGCTACTACGACTACTACATGGGACGAATGGGTGCCGCTTCAAGGAGCTTCGACCCGAAAAAGGGTGCTCATACCGAAGCCCGGAAAACCCGCAAATCTTGCCAACCTTCGCCCATTGTCGCTTACTTCTTGCGTCGCAAAGGTGATGGAACATGCATTCCTCAGTCGTATCAACGAATATTTGGACCTCATTGAAGCGTGCCCGGACACTATGCTTGTGTTTCGAGCTCAGCGGTGAGGCAGGATGCAATTTTGCAAATCAAACATCAAATACTTGACAACAAGACCAGAAGTCAAACGGCCATTTTAGGATTAGACCTCAAGAGAGCCTTTCACACCGAAGCTCACGCAGCCATACTACGCAAGATGGCCACACTAAATCTAGGCAACCGGACGTACAGCTACGTTATGGATTTTTTTGCAAAGAAAAGTGTCTCCTTAACGCTGGGCAAAATTACATCTTAAGACAGGAGGCTTAGCAGCGTCGGCACTCCACAAGGCTCCCTCATCTCGCCGACGCTCTTCCATCTCGTTACAGTTGGCCTCCCCGAACGCCTTAACCCCACCAAAAAAGTGCATAACGCCTATACGCAGACGACGTTACGATTTGGATATGCGATGCAAGTAACGGAGACTTCGAGCAGAGGCTACAAACAAGTGGTTTAGGTAGTGGAACAGTGCATATATTGGGGGAACAGGGTTTCACTGCATGAACAATTGGCACAAAACTTTTTGCGATTGTTGAGCGGATACCACCTTTTACAGAAGAATAACGAAGGATGCATAGCAAATGCCGGCCTGCTACACAGAAACCAATATTATTAATGCCGTAGCGGGTACCCAGCAGGTATGCTTGCAGCAGTTACAGAATAAGTGTTCTGGCTTTCGCTGTGACTCTGCTGCACCTTTCGCACAGGCCAGGTATTTTTTTTTATCTCATAACAGTTTTCGCTGTAAAAGATTGATTGCTGAGGTAACTGAGCACACATTGTAAGCGTGGGGACTCTTTGAACAATACATAATTCGTGAAGGCCATAAAGGTCAGTTCGCGCGTGGCAGGCAGTGCATGAACGGCAAGCCATGGCAAATGAATTTGCTTGTCAATGATGATATTTTACAAGTACAAACAGATATATATTATGGCTGCTTGTAGCCAGCTTGCACAAAATTGTTCATTTATTGCAGGACTGAACTGAAGCTTTTTTGACTATTGTAATTCTGCATATAATAACAAGATTTCCCACATTTAGCCCAAAAAATTGTCAGGGTTGCAACGGTGTCAAACTTCTTTCTGATTAGATGCCTACACTGGCCTCAAAATATAACTCACGATTCTCATTGTCGTATATTATAATTTCAATATATGTGGCTGTCACACGACGTTTTTTTTTCTTTCAGGAAACAATCCGAAGAATGCATTAGAGTTCTCAATGGGCATAACTTCATGAAAGATGAAAACAGGTTTCCGGGGCAGACAATTCGTGCGCAGTTCTTCTGCAAAAAACAACTAAAGCAAGATGGGCAAAGACATCAAAGACAAAAACTCATTGTGAAACAGGTATGATAAAAGCAGAATACTTTCTCGCGAAATATAGAGATCCCAAGAAGAAAGGTTTATGTACACTTAAACCGAATATCTCAAGCTGACCTTATCATGTGGACGGCAGTTCAGAAAGGTAGTACCGGAAGCATTGGAAATATGAAAGTAGTTCTTTTAGCAGAAGGGAGAGTAGTTTGAAAAAATTAGTCACGTTGCATTGCTAATTTTGAGACCACTTTTTCCACGTTCTATACAAGGTTCAAAATCCATAAGCTTCGATCTTTAAAATCACTGAGTTTTCGACTGAGGTTTCGAAGTTTTTGCTCAATGGATTTGTGCCTGAAAATTTACTCACCACATACTGACCCTCACAAAAAATATCCTTGCTACCAGTTAATTCTGCAGAGATTAGCTAAACAAAGTAGTGATATTCGCACTATGTAATAAGGACAGTATTATGTATCAGTGACAAACATTTATTCCTTCAGAAGCTGCGAACTTATAGCTAAAGGTGATTGGGCTGCATGTGACCCACGTGCCGTGCGTTTGATCGCCCCTGATTGAAATGCTCTTCATAAGTCTTTCCAATATTTTAAAAATCACCCCACTTTTATTGACTAAGGTAACTGTGACGAAGCATAGCCCACCGAAAATGGTTTGATAATGCCGAATATATTGTGGTATTTCAAACTCTTGATGTACCATATTGCAGTGAATGTAGTAACTGACGTGGTATAAATAATGAGTTCACTAGAAGACGAAGAGAGTAGAATAAAATACAAAGCGAGACAGAGAGAAACAAAGAAAGAGACGAAAATTGAGGACCCCTATTCTTAGTTCTCAAGAAGTGAATGTTATATACATATTTTTTCTCTACTGCGTAACTGAACCACTTAGGGCATACTTTAGATTGTGCGGTGTTAGTCGAAAAGCTTAAATTGCAGATCACTGGAAATTATAATTGATGATGTTTAAAGTGACTTGTGTTATTGAAGCTTTCGAGTATGGCTGCATTCTGGGTAATTGGTAGAATGTTTTAGTCACGAGGAATGATACGCGTGCAATGATCTTCGAAGCTCCTACGCACCTACTATGTTGTCTTAAGGCAATGCAGGCAGTAATGTGTGTGCCTTACGAGTTGTACGGTGAGGCATATATACAGCACGCACCTATTTAGAAAGCATGCGTGATTTTTACCGCACTTTCAAGCAGATACGCAGCTGTGTGGTGGAACACATGCTTGCCACGTAAACAGCCTGGGTTCCATCCTCACTCTCACCCAGAAAATTGTAATATTTATCCTATATGTACCGTCTCAATTTAAGGCCACAGAGAAGGCGCTTTTTCTCTCAGAACCAACAAGGCTGACGCCTACACCTGAATTTCAGCGAAACTGCTCAATAACACTTTCGCATTTGAACAGTGAGAACAATTTATAGAGATAACGAGCTAAGATAAAGAAAAACAGATAGAAAAGTGATAGTTTCTCCACTAGGGTGAAGAAATAATCAGATAGCAAGAAATGATAATGTCACATGAAAAAAGACAAACGGCTCGATCCTTTCTGGACGCCGCTGAGGTCCCAAGTAGGATACCCGAATAGAATACATAGGTATACACAGCAAAAGTACGATTAAACAGCTGTCATAGTTTTGAGGTGTCGGCATTTGAGGAATGCACTGCAATTGCCCAAATGCAAAAGCCGATGCCGTATGACTTCTCCTCATTCTTTCACGGCGGCTTGTCGAAGAGCCCCGCTGAGTTTCGTTTCCCTCAGTGGCGCCTGATGCCAAACCTTCATGACCGCGCTGCCTTCGTTTTTGTTGTGATAGCAATTTTGTGGACACTCTTCACTCGATTTGCTGTTGGCATCGGTGTCGCCATCACTCACCATATATTTGCGCCTGTATATATATCTGGAAAACGCAAGAAAAAAAATTCGCACCGTATTTGCAAGTATTCTGCAAAGTCAAAATACGATAGTCTTGCGCGTGGAGAGAGTGAACAAGACATTTTTTTGATGGTTTGCGCAAGAAAATCAGTGAATGGTATTCTGGAGGCGCTGCGTTAGAGTGCCTCAAGCGTGCAGCGGAGGCGAACGAGCGCATAAATTCACGTCACACGTGAGATATAAGCGCCACCAGGCAGTTCTCTTAGAAAACAAAGCGGGTACGCACACCCGTCTCAGAGGTGATAAGGTGTAGAACGCAAGGCGACGGATAGGTGCCACCACCGTTCCCTTTTAGCACAGCGTTGGAAACACTTGCCTTCCCGTGCAAGCGTTGCATGGTCAGCGCAGCGTGATAAACGCTACGGTCCCTAAAATTACCTATGTATGCCTTTCCTTGTAAGAGACTCATATACAGAACATATACGTGTTGTTATGGTGCCCCAGACATGCGCAATAATTGCTTTTTAGTTGACAATTGTGCAAGCATGAACACTCAACCTTGAGCAACATAGGTGGGCGCTGCGAATGGGGTCGGCCGTTTTAAGTACCCGATGCCGTTAAGAGTGAACACACAGACAAATGTACAGACAGACAGACAGACAGACAGACAGACAGACAGACAGACAGACAGACAGACAGACAGACAGACAGACAGACAGACAGACAGACAGACAGGCCAAAATTATTGCGTCAAAGGTCCCCAAGAAAGACTATCGTATTGAAAAATCCACAAAGCGGCTTCACCGCGTAGAATCAAGCGTGGGACCTCTGAATTGTAATTGCGTGGCCTTAACCACTGACCCACGGAAGAGCACGCCCTTCAACGTTCAAACGGCAAGCTATCTACATATACCACTTACCAGTGGCAATTGGCATCTCGGGGGGAGCGTGACCTCCGAGTTAGCGGGCGCGCGGTGTGCTTTTTTCAGGCTGTCGCAAGCGCCGCGCTCTCTAGCAAAACCAACGAGTACCGCCTCGCGCACCTGGCTATCGCGAGAGGACCCATTGAGTGAGGGTTCCAGCGGCGGCGGAGGGCATGGCATACAGCAAAGTGCACGCGATTCTAGCCTGCGCATAGTTTTTAAAGACGATAGTCTTTCTTGGGGACCTTCTACGAAAACATTTTGCTCAGTCTCTTTGTCTGCCTGCCTGCACATTTGTCTGTTCATCCACTCTTAATGACATCGGGTAATTGACACGGCCGACCCCATCCGCAGTGACCCCCAATGTTGCTCAAGGTTGAGCGTTCATGCTTGTGCAATTGTGAATTAAAAAGTATATATTGCGCATGTCTGCGGCATCATAACAACACGTATATGTTCTGCATGTGCGTATCTTACGTGAAAAGGCATACATACGTAGTCTTAAGGCCCGTAGCGCTTATCACGCTGCGCCTACCATGCAACAATTGCACGGAAAGGCGAGTGTTTCTAACGCTTTGCTAAAACGAAACGGTGGTAGTGAGACGTCCCCCGCTACGCCACCGATCGCCAAAGAGAGGGAAGAACACTCAACCTTTTTTCTATCCGGTTCCCTCTTGGCTACGTGCCTCAATCATTTCTCACATACAGGGATTCGTGCTGGGGCCGGGAAGTAAGAGACGCTACGACCTGTTTCCGTTTACTGGTTCATTTAATTTAATACTAACTGCAAACATCGTAGAATCGTGCACATCAACCACTACACAAAATTATAACACATGATTTAAACACTCGCGACATTTGACACAGGGCAGGCACATAAAGGAAGTAACTGTAACAACACAAGGTTATGCATATATACAGCAAACACGCGACGACACAGATGATAAAGTCATTAATTAACAAAACCACGCAATGTCCCAATTTGCCGCATCCCTACCCGCAAAGCTCATTTATGTAAGGGAGATGAAGTTCGTCTCACAGACTGTCCATGTTGGGGGCCTCGGGGCTGGCTGTTCGAGTTGGGGCTCAGGGCTTCTTCCTGGTGTCATTGTCCGATTCGTCGGCGCCTTCATCGTCTTCGTCATCGTCGCCTCCGTCGTGCCTCTCAGAATGCTCTATTCACTCGCCTCCTATCCCCAACTTTCATTCCTCATCGTACTGTCTTTGCCCTAGTCATCATCTCATCGCTCCTCATCGCTATCTCTTCAACTCTGTTCGCATCGTAACTCTGACTCCCTTCGACTCTTCACATCGTATCTCTCCGACTCTTCACATCGTATCTCGGGCTCTTCACGTCGCCGTCTGATCTGTCCTCTTCCGTCGTCCTCTTCTTCTTTTTCTCCCCTGGGAGAGACCCTCCTCGCTTCTCCCCTTTCTTGACACGTGGCCGCTTTTCTCGGGTTCCCACTCTGCCCTACCGGGGCACCAAACCAATCGCCGCTATCCACACAGCATATTTTCTTCTCTGTCGGAGTGAATTACCTTCGGCGGCCGCCCCCGTGGCCTACACCAGTAGAAAACCCTCTCCCGAACAAAGCCGAGCAAGTAAAATGTATAAACTCAAGCTTCAGGAAGAGTGATGGGCGCGCCGTCCGAAGACACTTTAATTACGGGCGAACAATGGTCTCGATGCTTCCGGTACTTGGTGAGCCGATGTACAGACCAAGTCTCAACGTCTCCACGCAGCTCGGTGTCTCTCGCGAAATTCTCCGTAGCCGCCGCTTCTTTGTCATTCGCCGTCACGGGCGGCCATCCGCGCAGAACGCAGTAATGAGCCATGGAGCCACGGAGTCTGAAGAAGAGACATACTGGACACGGCACAGGCGTTAGCCGCAAAGGTCGCATTCCCCGAACCAACAAAAGGTGTTCTGCTGCTCCCCCATGCCACAGATCTGAAGGGAGTCCGCCGATTATCTCCACCGTACACGGTATGCGGACAACAAGGCGCCGCCCAGTCCTCGTGTCGATAATCCTTCTGGTACTTCACTCCGGAATGCCCTTTATGCGTGGGTTTGAGAAACGAGCGTACACATCTTGTAAGGAGCGGGGTTCAGTCCGTGTTTGCGGGGACGTCACAATCCCTTCACCTTGCAGAAGAATTTTCCCAGCGGGGAAATTCAAACACGAGAAATGCGGGCGCATAA